TTTAAATTTGGTTGATTAGACTTAGCTTTATATGCGATCAAAATTATGGCTCTTTGGCGCTCCTCTACCTCGCGAGGCGCTCCTTTGCCTCGCGAGGTGCTTCCCTTGCCTCGCGAAACACTCCTCTACCTCGCGAGGTGCTCCGCTACTTAGCATACATTAAAATTATATATGAAATAGGGGTAGAAAAGACTGAAAAATATAATTCATATATAATTCTTTTAAATTCGGTTGATTAGACTTAGCTTTATATGCGAAGTTAGAGCAAACACGGACATCAAATCTGCACATACAAAGTTATAGATCTTTGATCGCGTATAAAGCTGGGTCTAATCAACCAAATCTTAAAAAATTATATATGAAATAGGGGTAGAAAAGACTAAGAAATATAATAAAATTAGAAATAGATCGATATCTTCTACGAACAGAAACATTGCATATCCATGAACAAATCCGCAAATAACTTTTTATTATTTGTAATTTAATATAACAATATCTTTGATATATATTTTATTTTACTATAATATTATCTATAATTTTGTTATGAGTATAAGTACTTTTGTTATTACCGTAATTTATTACGAATATTTTACTAAAAATAAGTGTTATAATAAACTGCTAATTTTTTTTTATATTATCTCTAATTTTATTATAAACACAAGACACAAGTATAAAATCTTTGATTGTTATTTGTATTCAACTTATTGTAAACTGTAACCTTAATTTTATTGGAAACTATATTATTTAATTAACAGAAATTTGTTTCGCTCATGCGACTGGGCCCCGCGGCACTACTTTCCACACTTCCCACTGTACTGCACTGTATCGTATACGCTCATGTGCCGCGCTATCGCGCCGCGGCCCGCGCATGCGTGGGAAAATCCGGCGCAACATGGCGTCAATGGCGATGCACGGCGGTGTTTGACGCGGTGTTTGCGTTACGGTGTGTTGAATTGTGTTGAATCGCTTTCGATGTGTCGGCGGCAACCGTAAACGGCCAGCGAGGTGGTGATCGGTGATACGTATACAAACGGAACGTACAGTCTGTGCTCTCGACGCGAGTATTACGTGATCGGCGAAGCGTTTAGAGAGGCGGTTTACGTATAAGCTGTGCGTGTGTAGATCCGCGATCCGCGGGGCCCTAAGATGTCCAAGCCAGACGAGAACGCGGACACCGGCGACACCGGGGACAACTCGAACGGGTCCTCGGCGGAGACGACGTCGTCGAGGGGGGGCGGCGACTTCGAGACGAAGCTCGAGACGGACCGTAGCAAGCGTTTCGATTACCTGCTGAAGCAAACCGAGATATTCTCGCACTTCATGACGAACAATCAGAAGGACAAGGCTAGTCCGTTGAAGATCAAGGCCGGCAGGCCCAGGAAACAGCCGGAGATCCCGAAACCTGACCCCGTCGATCACAGGCATCGTAAAACGGAGCAGGAGGAGGACGAGGAGCTGCTCGCGGAGAGCAACGCCAGCGTGGCGCCCACGACGCGCTTCGAATCGTCCCCTCACTACATCAAGTCCGGTGAGTTGCGCGACTATCAGATACGCGGCTTGAATTGGATGATATCGCTCTACGAGCACGGTATAAACGGTATCCTGGCGGACGAGATGGGCCTCGGCAAGACGCTGCAGACCATCTCCCTGCTGGGATACATGAAGCACTTCCGAAATATTCCCGGACCTCACATCGTTATTGTGCCAAAATCAACGCTGGCCAATTGGATGAACGAGTTTAAGAAGTGGTGTCCCAGCCTTCGAGCCGTCTGCCTCATCGGTGACGCGGAGACCAGAAATACCTTCATCAGGGACGTGATGATGCCCGGAGAGTGGGACGTGTGCGTGACGTCTTACGAGATGGTCATCAAGGAGAAATCTGTATTCAAGAAGTTCAACTGGCGCTACATGGTGATAGACGAGGCTCACAGAATAAAGAACGAGAAGTCGAAGCTGTCGGAGATCCTCAGAGAATTCAAGACCACCAATCGGCTCCTTCTGACAGGCACGCCGCTACAGAATAATCTCCACGAGCTGTGGTCTTTGTTGAATTTCCTTCTACCGGATGTATTCAACAGTTCTGATGACTTTGACTCATGGTTTAACACAAATAGTTTTCTAGGTGACAATTCCTTAGTCGAGAGACTGCACGCTGTTCTAAGACCGTTCCTTCTGAGACGCTTGAAGTCCGAGGTGGAGAAGGGACTCAAGCCCAAGAAAGAGATCAAGGTGTACATCGGTTTGAGTAAGATGCAACGAGAATGGTATACCAAAGTGCTGATGAAGGATATAGATATCGTGAATGGCGCAGGTAAGATAGAGAAGATGAGGCTGCAGAACATTTTGATGCAGCTGCGGAAGTGCTGCAATCATCCGTACTTGTTCGACGGCGCTGAACCCGGGCCGCCGTACACCACCGACGAGCATCTCGTCTACAACTGCGGCAAGATGGTGATACTCGATAAATTGTTGCCGAAACTGCAGCAGCAAGAGTCGCGGGTCCTGATATTCAGTCAGATGACGAGAATGCTGGATATTCTGGAGGACTATTGCCACTGGAGGTGCTTCCAGTATTGTCGACTCGACGGCAACACCGCTCACGAGGATCGTCAGCGGCAGATAAACGAGTACAACGCACCCGAAAGCGAGAAGTTCATTTTCATGCTGTCAACTCGGGCCGGCGGTCTGGGCATCAACTTGGCGACCGCCGATGTGGTCATCATTTACGACTCCGATTGGAATCCCCAGATGGACTTGCAGGCGATGGATCGTGCGCATCGTATAGGCCAACAGAAGCAGGTGCGAGTTTTCAGGTTCATCACGGAGAACACGGTGGAGGAGAAGATCGTCGAGCGAGCCGAGGTAAAGTTGCGCTTGGATAAGCTCGTTATTCAACAGGGACGGCTAGTCGATGCCAAGCAGACGGCGTTGAACAAGGACGAGATGCTGAATATGATCAGACACGGGGCGAACGAGGTGTTCGCGTCAAAGGACAGCGCCATTACCGACGAGGACATAGACACGATATTGCAGAAGGGCGAGGCGAAAACGGAGGAGATGAAGCAGAAACTAGAGAGCCTTGGCGAGTCCTCGTTGCGCAATTTCACCGTCGACGCACCGACGGACTCCGTGTACCAGTTCGAGGGCGAAGATTACCGCGAGAAACAAAAGATCCTTGGAATCGGCAACTGGATCGAGCCGCCGAAACGCGAACGTAAAGCCAATTACGCCGTCGACGCTTATTTCAGAGAAGCGTTGAGAGTCTCGGAGCCAAAAGCGCCAAAAGCGCCGAGACCGCCGAAGCAGCCGATAGTACAGGACTTTCAGTTCTTCCCGCCGCGACTTTTCGAGCTGCTAGATCAGGAGATTTACTATTTTAGACAGACGGTCGGCTACAAGGTTCCGAAGAACCCTGAGCTCGGATCGGACGCCGCCCGAATTCAGAAGGAGGAACAGCGCAAGATCGACGATGCTCAGCCGCTCACCGACGAGGAGGTCGCCGAGAAGGAGAAGTTGTTGCTTCAAGGCTTCACCAACTGGACCAAACGGGACTTCAATCAGTTCATCAAGGCGAATGAGAAGTATGGTCGCGATGACATTGAGAACATAGCAAAGGAGGTCGAGGGAAAGACGCCGGAGGAAGTTATGGAGTATTCGGCCGTTTTCTGGGAACGTTGCCACGAGCTTCAGGATATAGATCGCGTGATGGCGCAGATCGAGCGTGGCGAGGCCAAGATACAGAGGCGCGCCGGCATCAAGAAGGCATTGGACGCGAAAATGGCCAGATACCGCGCGCCCTTCCACCAGCTTAGGATAGCCTACGGTACGAATAAGGGCAAGAATTACACCGAGGAGGAGGACAGATTTCTCGTTTGCATGCTGCACAAGCTCGGATTCGACAAGGAGAACGTGTACGAGGAGCTGCGCGCCACGGTGAGGTCGGCGCCGCAGTTCCGTTTCGACTGGTTCGTCAAATCCCGCACCGCGTTAGAGCTGCAGCGTCGCTGCAACACCCTGATAACCCTGATAGAACGCGAGAATCAAGAGCTCGAGGAGCGCGAGAGGCAGGAGAGGCGAAAGAAGGGCAGCAACATAGGTACGAAGCCGACGTCGAAACGAAAGGAGAACTTGCCGGCGCCGCAGGATAAACCGCGGAAAAAGAAGAAGTAAACGATTAAGTGCATTCGGCTAGCCTCACTCCGGACTTTTTTTCACTTAGGACACTTTTCACTCTTGCGCGTTAAATATGACTGAAAATACGGACCACGGGTATTCACACACAAGGCGCATTTTTCTATATTTACAAATTTACTCATTTTCATATGCAGACATACTCCTACTGTTTCATATTCCATTGTAAACGAAATACATTCTTTAGATAACGACTGCCAAGTTCATCAGGCTTCATCGAATCGTTTGTAATGACACGAACTTTAAATCATTTATCGCAATTGATCTCTGAAAACGTACTCGCGTAACTGCGAAAACTAGATTTATGCTGCAGAATCATCGATAGCTATGCAATACTTCCCGATGGACTTAGGCAGAACTTTATATCGCGAGTGTTTTTTCATGTGCTCATGGATGCCTGGCCACTGAGATGAGAGAGAAAGAGAGAGAGAGAGAGAGAGAGAGAGAGAAATAGAGAAAGAGAAACGTAAGATCAAGTACACTATTTATTTTTCCGGACTTACCGAATAAGTTTGTTATTAAAATGTTTTTCCTTTCTCGCTTCAACAAACTTTAGAATTCGACATCATCCTGTATGTCAAATATCTGTCAAATTGAGATATAAATTTTGTTAACTCAAATCTTTTACTAACTTGTAGTGTCCCATTGACATATTATGTTACGTTGCTACGAAAATTTTTTTATAACAATCTTTAAAATAAAATCGAAGTATTATTGTGGTGTATCGTATAAACGATATATATGCTGATCTATTTTATAGCCAAATATTACTCCGTAACGCACTATTCTTCCACGTTAGTTTCAAACACCGTCATGGATTAGTTTCAATAAGAAAAATAAGAAAAATTGCTGCTCCATCAATCGAAAATTGCAGTTTTTTTTTTAACACAAAATCCCATAGCGTTTCGGACAAAAAGATGTGCGCACTTAGGAAGTTTTATATTTTAAGTTTACATGTACACGAACACACATCGAATAAGAGTTTGCAAGAAAATTTAGTTTAAAACATTGATAATAAATAAATCTTACTATTATGGATGGAGGATGTTTTATTTCAACTCTGCCATATGTCATCTTGATACTTCTTACGAGATGTTTTTATTGATCGTCGTAATACGATCGTATTCACAATTATTCGGAAGGAAATACAAATGTTTCTTATGTTTGAACTTTATACGTAAAATACTGGCTGATTGAAACTATATCGTACTTATTATGTATAAAAGTTTGACAATTTATAAGCGTGATACTCCGATACTTAATTGCAAGTATAAGAGTGTATTGTGAAGAGTGTGTACTGTGTACTGAAAAGTATGAACGTTTATAATGCTCGTGTCGTATTTATTGATAAATAAAAAAAAAGAGATGAATATCACACGGTCAATTAGATCTTAAAAAAATGATGGAACTCACATTAGACAAATGTTGTTTCCGTTAACGAGTTATACGAAAAAATAATGATGCTAGTATATATTTAAAAAAATCGGATGTGAAATTTCTTCTCTTTGTACACAATGTGGATACAGATTGAAAGACATGACGTATGTTGCGCAAATGTACAAGTTAAAAAATGAAACATTCTGATATCGACTTTTTTTTAAACCGTCCTTAAGGCCTCAGAGTTCTGTATCGCCGCGCTGCTGGATATAACAATCCTAATTACATATTTTTATATATTCGCCATAATTCGCGCTACCTTTCCCCCTCCGATCCAAAAAGCCATAAGAAGGAAAATAAAAGTATTCTCAAAAATTACATGTAGTGTTTTACATGTCACTATAATCGCTGGCAATTGTCAAAAAGATTGTCACAAAGAGAAAGAATCCGTGTTATCAACATTTTTAATTGCGATCTAAGACATGATGTGATTAGAGCATATTAAAAGGCAAGTACAATTATAATTACAATCGTTACATCTTACTTTCACACAACTTCAAGAGTTCACATAGAGTTCTATAACGAGTTAAAAATTAATAGCCACAATGCTTATTTATATGCAACACAGAAGGACACGTGGAAAATTCGCTTAAAACTAAAGTGATCCATTTTGTCATTCATCTTGCTATTTCTTTTTTTCACCATATCCCCTTTAGCAGTTTTATGGAATCGTTCCTAAAATCTATAGATAGAATTGGTACAATTTAGATTTAATCGGCGATGGAATACATAGTTTTCAGCAAATATGTATCCACGATGAATACACAATTATCAATCGTAGCACGATATCACCTATGGCAAGAGTCGACCCATTATAAGACATGTATTGTATTTGAATTGCATTACATTCATATGTTTACGAAGTAAATTCGACTATATATCGTAAAAAGATCGATTACGTAGAATAGCAATCCAAGATTTAAAAAAAAAAAAAAGAAAAATACAAAATTCTCGAACTGATGATAAGCAAATAATAAATAATTTTGTAAGTTTCTTTCACAAGTTACGTTCCCCTATTTCACACAAATGTTTTTAAGCAAGTACAGTACAAATCGCTTCCTCGATTTGCAAAGCGATTACAACCAACTTTATAATATTAAGGCAAAGAAAATTTAATGTAGAACGAATAGACGTCTCGATTTACATCGCGTCTCGCAGTTACAGCGTTCGGAAGCAATTCCATCTATACGGCGAGCATCGTCGAGATAACGAATTCTGAAATAAGTATCAAGTTTATATCATTCTATACACGACTTTCTAACGTTTTAATGATTATATTTGCACTACACTTTAAAGTCTGCGACAGCGACAATAGGATAATAATACTGGCAAATCGTATGGCGGTTTTAAGCAGACTTCATCCCTAAAGAGTGAATATTTTCTAGCGACTGTTTTCGCGTTCATCTCTACGTACGTATACTACAAATATTAATACATTATTCGAAATCTATATTATTTGAAATATTTCGAAATGTTTCAGCAATATATATCAATGCTTTCATTTGACACAGATGCATGGGTGCTGTAGATGCACCTGTCAAATAATTTTTTACAATTTATATCCTTCCGATTTTTGATTATTCGACAAACGATAATTATACGTACATTCTCGCTCGCGGCAATTGTTTCCTTACATCACTAGAACAGTATTGACTTACTAAATTGTTGAACAATTATTTCTGGACTCCTGAATAAACGTGCGGATAAAAATTCTCGTTTTATCGTCTAATATATAGTACATTTTCCTATAGTGCAGTTGAAAAAGGATCAGTTTGCTACCATGACAATGATGCTATTTGGCTAAATATATTTTCAGGTATATTTTCATAAATCACCTCTCGCTCACTCATCGCTCCGCTATCAATGCAGACGTAAAATATAAAACAATTGTTTTTTTCACAAGATTCACATAACATAAATAAAGCAATTGCGTCGTTAAAAGTATACACATTAAAGGTTCTTCGCACACATTTACAAAGTAATAATGCAATTAAATAATTCTATTCGACGCTATATATACAGTGTTCCACCAGAAACAGAGTACTTGAATAATGGACTGGATGTTCTTACCATTTAATACAAATTATATAAAATCGCTGCATACATTGTAATGCCACGAGAAGAAAGAATATTTTCCATTCAAAAAAAAATGGATCGTTTATAAAAAAAAAAATTCGAATCTTCTGTTTCTGAAGAATCATTCTTACGTAAGAATACCCTTAATTCTATATAAAATAAATAAACTTGAAAAATGTAACATGACTATTATCAGAGTAAAATAAGAGGAATGGATGTTAAGTCAAATGCCGAGTTTACAATAGCCAGCGCACTTAAATAATAAAACATTTCTGTATTTTTTTACATAACATACAGTTCACAAATCATCACTGTCTAAATCAAATCTGTATCACTTTTACAATCAAATCTTAAACTATATAAAATTAATAACGAGTCGGATAAATACTTAATAAAAGAATATTTGACTGTGGAAGCTGAGAAACGCCTTAATCTTAAATAATTAATTGTAATCGATTTATTATATATTTATTAAGCTAAAATAAGTTGTTCCTCACAAGTCTTTAGTAACTATATTTCGATACTAACAGCGATTACTAACGCATTTGTGTAATTCCGTATATTCAAACTACGAATACGAATATTCACTTAAAACGGCCATTGCACGCTCGATCGTAAAGCTACGGTCTATTCCACGAAATAAAATATTAGAGATATCCAGTAAAAGATTACCCGAGAATAAATTCGAACGAATAACGTAAAAAACTGACTATTACTATAGCCACGTAATGGCGATAAGTTAACGTTACATGAAAGAGATTCCGAGAGTTGTGCAGACTGCATTTACGTAAAGGTGAAACGCCAACGGAAATGCAACGCCTTTAAATTCGATATTTCGTCTATACCTTTATATACGAGTAAGATGGAAATGATCTAAGTTAAAGATTCAATCGAAAATCTCGCAAATGCCTCCAGGGGGGTGGATCGGGGGGTGGAGGCAAAGGGACTGGTTACGGACGGCAATGGCCTCTCTTCCGACTGCCTTCGTTACCATCCTCGTCCTCGCCGCCCCTTCGTACTTCCGTATAACGTTCACCCTTCACACTTACGATCTTATTGTCAAGATACCGTACCAGCTTCTTGGGCTCCGTTTTCGGCGCGACTGGACGGTGCTCACGGCAATCGTCGTCCCTGTCGACGTAACTGTATCGTGCTATGATACGAGATTTCAACTCCTCGTCGTTCAACCTCGCTTTGTTACGACCGTTGGGCTGAAACGAGCGAACGTCATAATAAATCTCGTAAGTCACTTTCATAAGATCGAATGAAATCGTCGTTGATGAAATCTCACCGTTAGAAACGTAAGGTTGCTCACGATGCTTTGACCTGCCTCTTGACGATGTAACGCGAGCTGCGCGGCTTTCGCTATATCACCTCCGGCTACCGCTAAACAGTGCCTTGCTTCGGCAGGACTCGCTGCCGGAAACATCTCTTGCAGCAGGGCCACCTGATGCCAGGAGGATTCCTAGAAAGGTAAGGCTATAATAGATGTTCAAAGGCGCTTAATTTCCTTGAGACGTCTCGTCGTTTTGAATTTTGCGTTCAATCCCATGAAAATACATTTTCTCGTCACGAAATATTTTGTTATATTAGAGCCACTAAATGTTTTTATCACTGAAGCAAAGTAACTAAGACTTTTTGGGTGTGCTGAACACGACTTTTGAGTCTAATTTGCAAAATGTTGCCTTAGAAAAAAAATATGGTTATCAAAAAAATGAGAATACTCGAATATTCTCGTCATGAGATATTTTGTTATATGAAGTTTTACAATAAATTAATGACTGAAATAAAGTACACTTAGGAGTTTTTGGGTGTGCTAAACATGATTTTTAAATCATTTTGAAAAAAATTTGAAAAAAACATTTGAAAAAAATGTTTAAACAGTCATAAAGAGATGTTAGGACAAAAATTTGACTTGAAAGTCGTTATCAGCACTCTATATAACTCCTCTATATAAACTCATTAATTTCCAAGAATCTTTTGTTTTTGGTATTTTAAGACCACTCGAGAAACATGATGTACACAAGGGGTTAAGGCTGCACGTGTCGCTCGGTATTTTTCTTACTTCCGAAAAATATTCCCCACTTGAATCGCTTCCAGCGTCGCTCGTTTCTGAGAGATGATGGACCCGCATTCTCTGCGTGCCGGCTGGCAAGAGAGCAGCCAGGCTGATGTGATTCAGCGGATCGCTGTGAGACTGGCAATTCTCGTTCTCCTTACTCTCCTGCTTCAATTTGCTTTCCACGTCGAGCAACCATTTTGACACAGCCTCCTTCTCGATAGTGGAAAACTCGGGTAAACAAGCAGACACCATTTCGCATAGTCCATCTACGTCTAGATTCTCCTCCAATGCGCTTTCTTCCACCATACTCACTACATAACTGAGTACAATGTCGTCTATTAAGCTAAAATGAGAAGATTTACTCATTTATTAACACATTCAAAGTACGCCAAGCGACTTTAGCTTGATTTTGCCATTTACATTGGATTAAATAATTTTATATTAACACTTTCACTGCCAAGCAGAGTAAAAGAAAACTACATCCTCAGGCCAAGGCTGTTTTTTTTACTAGTTGCTGTATTTTATTGCAACCGATTCTTACAGTATTTATGCTTTTATATTTCTTATGTTTTTTTACAACTTTTGACCTGGTGTATTATTTAAGAAACACTTGGCCTGCCTAGTTAGATTCTAGGTGTATAAATGATACACGTGGCAGTGAGAGTATTAATATCCCCGACACAGTCGCAGTATTAAATATAGAAATTAAAGACGAAAACGAAGGGAGTTTGTACCTCAGTTGAGCGGTGGGCACCTGCTTCCTAACGAAACTAAATAAGGCCTTCTTCACCAGTTCCTCCTTCTCATCCATCGTACGACTCATCCTGCAAATTGTGAAGCTCGTTTAATACGTATACCTCGGCAACGCTAAGAATATTCAACGAATATCGACAACGTCCGGATCCGCGCGCCCATGGAGGGAGCGAGCCGATCGTCTCCGCGTGCGAGACCGTTTCTCGAGGGCACGGGGCACGATCGCGCGGTTCAAGCGGGTGCTGATTGCTGCGACGGAGCGTTCCCTCGCGCGTACGCACAACGTTCAGTCATTGATCCTCTAATATAGGTTAAGGGAGACGAGAGGGCAGCAGGTCTCTGGCTCGCGGCCCTCGCGCGCCCTTACGTACGAGAACGCCGCGACGACGTGCCCTCGAGGAGAGCAACGAGACGTCGAGACGGAAAGCAACCGGTCGTGCGACTGATAATATTCGCGTCGTATACAAGAGGATGGATACGTAGGTATAGGTAGACGAAAAAAACAGGAACAGGTAAACTCGAGGGACAGCGGCCAAGCCGTGGTCGATCGCGGTAACGAGAGATCATCGACGACGCGGAACGACCCGTGCCGGTCGTCGCTCGCCCGTTCGCAAGAGGAAGACGTCAAGAAAAGCGCGCCGTTACGAACCTGATCGTGAACCAGGCTACCTCGATCGGGACACTCGGGTTTGTCAGCGACGCCAAACACCCGAGATAAATTTCGTATACAAACAACGCTCGTCGATTTGACAGTTTGGCGAGGGGAGGGGTGAATGTGGACGTCTGGCGCCGTCTGGCGTTTCGCGCGTCAACTTACGCTGTATTTACATCGCGTTATATATACATCAGTGATATACATACATTCATATACATACACATACGTGAATCTATGGCTGGATTCGGGGAGCGCGCTATTAGCGCTATTTGCTTGTTCTATCCTTGTTTTACACCTGATGAGCGATAAAGACAGAATGATGCAATAGCGCTAATAGCGCGCTCCTCGAATGCAGCCTATGAATATATATATGTATTTAATGTAGTATGTATATATAAAACACATATCACATAGTATGTATATATTATATATGTATATATCATGTGTTATAGGTATATATATATATATATGTACATATAGGTATATATACTCCATTAAACTAAAGTTTTTTTAAAATAACATTTATTTTTTTCTAAAAAGAATGAAAAATAAACTCATAAACACTGATGGAAATATTTTACTGAAAATGTAATAAAATAAAATTTTATTAAAATGTATTTGAAATTCTTTCTCAATTGACCCCATTTCTTTATTATTCCATCCATATTTCAGTAAAAATTCAGTTAATTTCATGATATCTAATATTTCAGAAAATTATTATTATTTTTCAACACAGTATAATTTAACTCTTTCTTTATATTTCATAATATTAATTACATTTCACAAGGACAATTATGATTTATTTTGAAATATATTCAGTAATTTTTCAATAACTTTTATTTCACTTTTCATTGACTTCATAGTACTTCAGCAAAATATTTCCATATATTGTATATGTATATATTACATACACCAGATCTCGCTTTATTAGATTTCTTGTTTTTATTAAAAATAAAGTGATAACTACGGTTCCCACGATGAAAGGACATGAAGAGAAAAATTCGTGAAATATGCACATCCGTAATTCCACAATTGCTATCAGATGTCAGGGAAAATATCTATCAAAAAAAACTATTAAAATGTCTGGAAGTAAATGGACACCTCTTTGAACATTTAAAAAAAATTCAACAGATGACATTTTTTTGTTGTAACTCGTGCGTAAACTATTGTTAACTATTGTTAACTATGCGTAAGAGGAAAAAATATTTCAGATAAATATTATCAGGCTTGACAAGAGCTATTTGAATATTTAAAAGAGTTTATACCGCGTCCCAGTAAAAAGAATGAAGAGGCCCTCTATTTTGCCCCTCAGGGGCTGCTTCCAACATTTTTTTATCCATCAAATTGTCAACCAACCTATCTCATTTAACGCAAAAAAAAACTCATGTTAATATCTCTAGCAATGGCGGAGAAAATAGCTTCTAACACTTTAGATAGGACACCCTGTATATGTATATCACATGATATCGCGAGACAAAATGTTCAAGGAAAAGCGTATATTTATAGGAGTCTCGAGATTCGATTTTCAAAATTTTCTTCGATCAGCATTTTATTTTCTAGGTCGATTATCAAAGATGTCACATTCACATCTATCGACGCGTCAACGAACAAGGAAAAGCTTACATTTTTAATATACATTCACATTTTCCCTCGCATAAAACCTATGTCTCTTTTCGGAAAAAATGTTCTTATACGTACGATGAAAATTTTTGTATATTCGGTACACCGCGTGTTACAGTAACCGTTTATTTTTTAGACGTATCATCACGCGTTACAATCTACACCTACCAATCGGGTATGTACAACGCGCGTACCGACGATGACAATTTATAGCTCGACACATACCCGATGAATAAATAATTACAACTCGCAACGAAACGGTACATGATACAACTCTATCACTTTCGTAAACAAAATAAGTTACATGACACAACTCTAGAGTCTACAAAATTTAGACTTTTACAACATAAAATTTATCATATCCGCCGATAAGACAATCGAATACCTACTTTGTTATAACCGCGGACATTACGTTATTAATTTTTATATAAAATGGGTGATCTATATCAGACGCTCGTATTTGTATACATACGAAGTTAATACACGTAGAAGATATTTAAATAAATATTTACGTTGCGAAAAAAGACGCGCTGGACTAGCGGAAATATCTCTTGTTGTACCTTCCTCAAAGTTCTCCAGACTCTACATAATAGTAAGATATTAATCTTGGATTAGAGATCTCTGATTAACAGCAAGACTAAAATAAAAAGGTAAAATTTTCTCAATACGATCTCAATACGGTAAAATATTCTTAATACGTAGATACCAAAAATAACAATCTCTTTGTTTTGGTACTTGACTCGTGCACATCATCTCCCCGGTGAGAGTTATCCCAGTTCAGTTTGTCGTCATAAGAATGCATTTCTTGACTTGAGAGCTTCAAGAAAACAAATCGCAGGTATTCTTACACTAGTTTCCATTGAAATTTGTAGTATAATCCGATCGCGTTACGTAGATTACAAGACATTTCTATATCTTACTATGTCCCTTTTTTCTCTTTCGAGGGCTGTATCTCATTCTGCTCGATTTCATTGTCCTCGCCAACGGAAGCGTAATCAGGAGGCTCTTTTTTATTGTTATCTTTATTACAACTCGATTCTGGCTCTTCGACAATGTCTTGCTGTTGCTCTAGGAAATCGGTAGGTACAAACTCCATTTGGTCTTCGTTATCGTTTAAATCCGGCGGAGCTGGCAGTTCGCAAAAGTGCAGTCTCTCGTCTCCGTCGTTAACTTCCTCGCCACCTGGGTCATCCTCTTCGTGCAAACTCATAAGTTTCTCAAAGTCCGAGGAAGCCGTGGCGTCTTCACTATTCTCCGGAAATATCTCCGTTGGGCTAAGAGGTATATCTAAAGGCTCCATCTTCACGGTCGCGCATGGCGACGTTGGGGTGATGGGCCGCTGCAGACGTATTTTGGTAAAAGGTCTTGGCTCTATGTGTTCGGACTGTTGTCGCTTTTGCGCACGCTTAGGACTAGAAGACATAGACACCCTCGAGGGTGATGCTTTATTCTCTTTGGACTCTGTGGTACTTCTAGGAATTACGTGTTGAGACGACAATGGCTTCGTTTGAGGTATAAGTAGCGGTGACTTTGTGTTCTATCGACAAAAAGAGTACAAGTAAATTTAAAACTTTCGTACGTTAACGAATCTAATTACCAATGAACCCGTGATGATCAGACTTACTTGGGAGGGACTCGGACCAGCTAGTCCCTTCACTTGCAACGCTTCGGCGGCGTTCAACAGCTGCGGCAATTTATCGTGAGCGACATTGACTTCCCCGCGGTACATGAATTTAACCAACGCCTCCACCTCCCAGAACTTCAGATCCTTCATTAGAATAATGGGGTGTTGGCATGGATTCTCCCGCAATAGGTCTGCCAGGTAGTCGCTACAGGAAGATAAAATCATCTTGTGACACTTCAAGGATCGTCCTTCGCACGCCAAAGTCACGTCGACAAATTGCTCCGTGTCCAATAACGACGGGAAGCTATTTTGCATATTACTATGATAACTGTTCCACCTCAAGCAAACCTGAAACACGTGGAAAAGGACGAGCTCGATAAAGATCTGTATTGGAATTATATTTTCTTCTTGCAATAGATGCAACGTTTGCAAAGGATGCTATATACGTACTTCTGTAGGTTGCTGATGCACGACGTTATGGGGTCCTTGATTAGTCTGTCGCGATGGCATTTTGATAGTCGTAGGTGCAACTTGCTTCACTTTCAACGGAATAGTTTTTAATACGAGGGTCTTTGGTTGCGATGCTTGCTGCTGCTGCTGCAACTGCTGTTGCGGGGGCGCCGGTGCAATATTACGTATGTGAGGTCTCACTAAGGACTGCGTGGCGATCCTTATGGCTTTCGTACTTCCGTTTCCGTGTGATGTAGACTGTAGAACTATAAAAAAAAAAATAAATATGTCATTAGTGGCATATGTGAGTTGAAAGAATAGTTACAGAAAGGGTCGGGGCACGCGTAAATATTAAACATTAATGGTAATTAATTTAGAATTAAATTCTGATCACGAGCCTCTTACTGTATTATTGCTGATTGTCATTTATAATAATTAAATTTATTGCAATGCTCAGTGAAAAATACAATAGAGAGAATTTGAAATGAAGAGTGCGCGCAAATGGTGAGGCATCAACATGTTGTTGTTACCAATTGTAAGCCTACCAATAGTTAGACGAATTCAAATCGTTTAATTAGAATTAAGTTGCAAAACTTGAAAATAAATTGAATTAAAATATTAATTCGTTTAATTAAAGGTTGTAAAATTCAAAGATCATATCTAAGATTATATTTTAATTAATAAACACATATAATAGATGTAAAACTTGAAAAGAATTAATTTAATTAAAATATCAGTTAGTTTAAAGCTGTAAAATACATACAATTAACCCGAACAGTACGCATGTCCAAAAGACGAAAAGACGTCGTAAAGAATAAGTCTTTCAGATGTCTTTTAAACATCTTAATTGCTGTCTGAGAATTTGACATTTACAATTCTATTTTAATTTAATAGACGCAATCCCGAAATTGCAAATAAACGTCTAAATGTGGTATTTACCGTGATAACGTCTACCGATCAGCCTGCCTCCGTGATGGACCCTCAGATGCCGGTGCAGGTTCGTGGTTCCGCACTGGCGCGGGTTCGCGCCGCCCCTGACGACGACTGCCCCGCAGATGCGGCACTGGGCGCGCAGCGGATCGTTAGTACACAGGTCAAAGTGCGCCCAGACAGCGCTGGGGTTCGCCATGGCACGCAAACTGCGCGCGTGGGAGCGCACTCGGTGCGTGACGCTCGCGTACCGGCCGGACGACGACGACGAGGACGACGACGTCGGTGGCGGCAACAACGCCGCCGTCGGCGGCGGCGGCGGCGGCGGCGTCGTCGACGCGGGCGGCATGCTCGACTCACCGAGATAGCAGTCCTCCTCGTCCTCCGGCTCCTGCTTCATCTCCAGGCTCCCCCGAATGTCCGCCGTGGAGGTCGCCGTCACGACCGTTATACGCTTTACAGTCTTCGCCGACAGCTCGAAAATCGTCCCCGAACGAGCAGTCGGTCACCCGTCACCTGTCACCCGTCACAGACATTTTTTAAATCTTTTTAAAATGAACCTAGCTAATAATCGTCGCGTTTCCCCCCGACGAAGACCGTCATCGCGCCTCCTTTATCAGATCTCCGTTTATGCAGGCACGGCTCTACACGCGAGTATTCCTTATCGCCTAAACGACGATAATCGCCGCGCTTTTTATGGGAATGCACGATTCTCCACCGCGCGGCATTAAAATAGGCGTTGCACGTGCGCCGGGGTTCTCGATGGGAAACGTCGCCGCCGCACGGGATTAACGGTGGATTATTAACATTTTACATTATTATTAATCTCTATAAACGAAAGATCCGTCCGCTTAAATCTATTGGTCGTAACGCATAGCCGATAAAAATAAAATATAGCGAATGATTATGTATGATAAATGTATAAATAATATGAATGTTTGAATCAAAATGTTTAATGTTGGGTATTTAATAGTATTTATTAGAATACGGGTCTGAACGCGAATATAG